AGCAGTGAGCCTGTGAGCCAACGTAGCACTGATACGCCTTTTTACCGAGCCAAACCGGGTCAGAATGACCCACACAAAGGTAAAAAATGCTTCGCTATTTGGACAAAGTCTCACTCACTTCTCTGAGTGTACAACTGAATTATCCAAGCAAGAATACAATAGAAAAATCCTCACCCATGACTGGCCTCATGCATCTCCACTGGTCAGGCTTCATGAAACTCTTCTTTTGAACAGAGCATCAACAATTTAGTTCTAACCCACACCCATCTATAGCGTAGGTGCTATATTCTACCAGCTCTGCTCATATCAAGATGCTTTTCACACTTTATATGAGTCGTTAGTGCTATATTTTACCAGTTCTTTTTCATAGCAAGATGCTTTCCACACCTTATATGAGTCGTAGGTCCTATATCTTACTATCTCTGCTTCATATCAAGATGCTCTCTACACCTTTTGTGAGTCGAAGGTGCTATATTTTAAAAGCTCTTTTTCATATCGAGATTTTTTTCACACCTTATGTGAGTCGTAAGTACCATATTTTACTATCTCTGTTTCATATCAAGATGCTTTTCACACCTTATACTTGTATGATTCGTAGACGCAATGCTTTACTACATTGAGTTAGCGGCATCGTTGCCAGCTTACTAACTGGCTAACGCTAAAATAACACATATGTTATTACACACTGGCTACCATACATCAACAATCACCGCATACCAGCAATCATCCATTAACCAAAAATCCATACACAACTGCTACCACACCCCTGCTACCACACATACGTATGCCATCATTCACCTCCTGTCATTTCGCACTCGGAAACTATACATCACTCATCACCACTGACCTGCGACAGTAGAAGATGGTGAAGATGATGATGATGTTGCCCAGCACCAGCACTGTCATTATGGCCACCGGAATGTAATAATCTGAAAAACAAATTATTAATCTGAATACTGTTCTGAAATGCCCAGAATTGAACTGAGAATTGCAACAGGGATGGACGNCATTAGTATTGATTATTTTGAAAGGCAGTGCCGTATATACAACCAAGCTAAATTCAGGTCTAGTCAAGTTATGTTTTCACGCTTATATAATTTTTCTAGATTTAGGTGAGTAATTTTCATTGCAAACCAGACTTTATGAACTTCATTTGGTCAATGGTACCCATGCTTGCATTTATAAAAAAATAATCTCAAATATGTGTGCAATCTTCAAAATACGCTACTGTTAGTAACAGACAATCGTCAATAGGATACCACCTATATTCCGTTAGTCACGTTTATTTTTAATCTTGTACTGTTATTGTGTCTTTTCATGCATTAATTCTTCATTCATAAACAACGGCCGTAAATTCACAGACCTGGTAAATTGATCCTTCGTCATGATATTTCTCGTTGCGATTCTATTGTTCAATTATTATATCGTCTCGCTTTTAATCTCAAATATTCCCGAATTTTAATATACTTTGTCAACATTAAGTGTTCTCGCTATCTCAAATATTCACATCTCTTAACATTCGTCATCAACGTTTTGTGCCCCGGTATCTCAAATACCTACTTTTCCGAACTGACGGTAGAGCTGGACTTCGAAACGTTATCTATAATTAAAGATACGATGAATTTATGTAGAATTTTCTTTGCTTTTAAATTTGGAAAAAATATTCTCGTCTCTTGATATTCGTCATCAACATAAAGTGTTCTCGCTATCTCAAATATTCACATGTCTTGATATTCATCATCAACATCAAGTGTTCCCGTTATATCATAGATCCCCTTGTCATAAAATTTTCTAGAAAGATACGATGAATTTGCGTTGAATTTTCTTTGATTATAAATTTGTGTTAATATTTGTTTTAATATTCGTCATCATCGTCCACCAGGACACAGCGACGAGCCTCGTGTCGGTGCCGGCCGACGTGTTCCGCAGCCCCGACGACGAGCCATACTACCGCATGCTGACCGAGCTGCAGGCCTGCGTGCCCGACACCGTCGGGGCAACTACCCACCATGAACCTAGACCTGCGTCGGGTTCCCTTGGCGGGACCGCGGTGGGTGGTGGTAATAAACCTGCCATCTCGATGGCAGCCCTGACCCTGGTCGGTGCCATCTGTGGTGGGCGGTGGTATTAAACCTGCCATCTCGATGGCAGTCCTGACCCTAGTGGTGGCCGGTGGCACTAAAGCCGCCATCTCGATGGCAGTCCTGACCCTGGTGGTGGTCGGTGCCATCTGTGGTGGGCGGTGGCACTAAACCTGCCATTTCGATGGCGGTCCGTAAGTTAGCCGTTGTGGTGATGGGTGCCACCTGCTGTGGTGGTGCCATCCGTTATGTGCTCTGCAGCTGAACTGATTGCAGACTTCGATAAATTTCTGCTCAAACTCATGACAATGCAGTAGAATTTAGGAACCTTGAAAGCTAGCACGTTTCGGAAGTGTTTGTTATACCTCAATGTTATGAGACAATCTTTGAAGACACGTTTTAGAGGGTATAGGTGCATTAAAAGAATTTCATTATGAAAAAATGAGAGAAGAATGAATGTGAAAGAATTTATTAATTGTTACACAGCTCCAGATCATAACATATGAGCATTAAATGGCCCAACGCCGCTTATGAGGTCGCAAATAAATTAAGCAGATTTTGTTTGTCATAAGCCATGTTGGCCTAACATGTTGTCAACGAAAATATAATTTCCTTTCACATTCTAATTGTATTCGTGTGCCATAAGTTGAACTTGAGTGTTACAAATAAATTTAACATAGCCGATATAAAATAACATGTTAATCGTTTGCAATGACGCTTTCTATTAAAAGTAAAAGATTCATGATTAAAACGGCACCAAAGGATCATTCATTTAACTATATCTTTATATCTTTTATATATTTTTTCTCGATCTTGTTTCAGGAATTATGATTTCAATTTATGATTAATGATTTTAGTGCTTAAACGAGGTGTTTACTCACTTAATGTTGCTTCAATGTAGTAATGTAAGTTGTTTTGATCAAATATTGTGGGAGCGAGCCGTTAGATCTCCTTCGTACTTTACGCATAATCAGTATGTTCTGTTCTTAATTTAGTCGATGCCGTATTGTTATTTCAAATAATTTTTATATTTTGGCATCAGCCATGAAGCTTTTTAGTGTAACGACATGGGCTTAGCCCTTGTTTCTATTATAAAAAATCCTGGCCTTGCTTTCCATATTGATGGCGAAAATTTCGGAATTTCAGATTGAGTTATATTTTTATATGAATTTCATATATCATACACTCTCACAGCATTTGTATAAATTTTATATATTATACACTCACACAGCTTTCGTATAAATTCTATATATTATGCACTCACACAGCTTTAGTTCAACCATGTAAAATTACCGATAGAATCGAGTCTCCCTAACAGAGGTCATTTTAGTTCGGGATACACATAAAGCTTGAAGATTCAAATTCGCCTCAATTGTGGCCAAATGCATCAAATTAAAGAAAAATCGAGACGACATAACGGCGACAAGTTTGAGTTCAGTTTTTAGTACTTGAACCATTGACGGGATGATTTGAACCGTTTTGACTTTAAGGAATGAAAAACCCTGTATCCAAAAAGTTCTTGCTCTGGAAAAATTTTGTTGGTGGCTCTTGAAGTGTCATGAGATAACCTACAGGTACAATTAAGAGATATTTATACTGGGTATTTCTATCACAAAAAGCAAGAGTTGAAAATGGTCCAAGTCATCCCGCTTTACGGTACCTTAAAAACTCACAACTAAAGCGTGAGGCTTTTTAGCGCATTTTCTCGTTTATGGAAAAAATGCACTATTGTGCTCGCCATGTCCGTCCGTCTGTCCGTCCGTCCGTGACCTCAAGTTTTCGTCGACGAGAAAATGCGCTCTCTGCCACTCACTGCAGTGAGTACTGAGTTATATAAATATATTTTTTTTGAATTCCCGGCTTGAAATTTATTTGTATTGAATTAGTTTGTAGGAGCTTTTGCCTTGCTCTGAGGCAGACGTACGATACAACCATGTCATGCATGATAAGGTTCATGTCAACTATTTATAATAGTACGTAATGTTAATAATACTACGTATTCACTGCTAAATTTTTTTAGCGATTTGCGTGCCTTTACACTCAGAGAAATATGTGTGACTTGTTTTAAATAGCGATGTAGTTTTATTCTTATGTGGGTCACCCTGACCCAGTTCGGCCCGGCAAAAGGGCTTATCAGAATGTTACGGGCAGAGAGTGCGTCACTATCTGGACAATGTTACCTGCATTTATCTGAGTGTAAGGCCGTTGTTTCTGAGCGCCTCCACGGAGCCCTCGATATCTCACTATATAACTCAGTTTTGTATGAAATTTAGTAAAAAAAACTCCACATTAATTCACTTATATCGTAATTGAAGACAATTTGGAGCCCAGCTCCATTGGTCTTGGAAATGTTTGAAATTAATTTATGATTTTAATTTACGTATCGTTTTATATGCTTTCAAATTTGTGCCCGAATTTAACCAAAATGATGCTATAAGTTCTGGTATTTAGTTATTTAGTTTTGAATTATGATTTCCTGCATTTACCTCCGTTACGATTGTCATTCTTGTTGCTGTTCTTTATTCTATCTTCGTAGTTCCTTTCTTCGTTCTATTTCTTCTGGCTTCCGAGATGATTAATAATTTTTTATACTACTGAAAATTTTAATGTTTGAATTACATTATTCTTAGTATATTAAAAGTAATTATTTTATGCTAGTGTGGAAAGTGCAGTTAGCGTCCGTCCGTTTATACGTAGCCGTCCGATGTTATTTACTAAATTAGACAAAGATTCGATCTGTATTTTATTGTCCTATTATTCGAGGAAATAATATTCACATTCATAAAATGAACTTTTAATACAAACATGCATGACTGAACAATGAATACATTTACTGTCATTCAGAAAAATGAGTGAGACTTTGTCCCAATAGCGATTCACGTTTCGCCCTCGTGTATGTCTTCCTGACACAATTTGGCCCGGCAAAAGGGCATATCACTGTTGGTCCGCTCTCTGTTTGGACTGTGAGTAAAAACATGGATCGCTATTGGGACAATATGCCCTTTATCTTCCTGAGTGCATGGTCTTCTTTTCTTTATCAATACTAGACTCGAGTATTATATTGCTATGGGTTTCAAAGACAGCAAAGCTGCACCGACAGATAACATTAATTATTATTTATAGTAGCTAAGCAATGCACATACTGAGCCAGGCATCCCTGAACACACAGCAATGAATGTCTACAAACGAACCACATCGAAAATAACTTTCCAACGTTAATTTATTAAGGCGAAGCGTCTAGGCTTACAATGTATACACGGCGACAACAGACCTCTCTGCTGCTGGTGATATCAATCTTGAGTTACGCGTATGCTACCGCTACTGCCAGCATGAACTGCTGTTCGCAACTGACCTTTGCAAATGTTGTTCACAAACGCTGTTTGACACTGTTGTTCGTAACTGGCGTTTGCAGCCGATGTTTGCAACTGAAGTTTGCAAAAGATGTTCACAAACGCTGTTTGACACTGCTGTTCGTAACTGGCTTTTGCATCAGCTCTTTGCAACTGACGCTAGCAAATGACGTTCACAAACGCTGTTCGCAACTGGCGTTCGCAAATCCTTTCGTAACAGGCGTTCGCAACCACTGTTCGCTTTCAAGTGCGTCTGATGGGAACGATTTTGGTTTTGTTTTCTCAAAAGTAAAGAATTTTTTGCACGCTTTGCTCGAAATGTTCAAGAAAAAGTGCGTGTTTCGCTATTATCATGGCTGTCAATCTTCACATGCCGTATGATTTTTTTTGTAAGATGATTGAGGATCCTGTATGTTTATATTTCATCAGAACGTTCACTGATGATCATGCGCATATGTTAATAAAGATTAGTGATGACTTTTGAGGTACGTTAAAAAGTTTAATTTCATTTAACGTCTTCAAGATAGTAAAATCAAATATTATGTTTCATCACCCGAAAGTTTCTACAGTGAATTCACGAAACTTTGTTTAGTTTCTGCAACGTTACAACCATCAAGAACATACAGGTTGAAGGGGACAGACTTGGGTGAGGTTGTCAACAATCTAAACAATATTCACATTAACAGCATAGGCTTCTAAATGGACCACTACGTTGAACATGAAGCTCTTTATGAACGCACGATGGCACGACAATTTTAACACACACAGAAACGTTGTCACCAGAAAAATGTAAAATGCCGGCAAGTTTTGCACAATTTGCTTTTACAATTTAACTAATTTGCATTGTACTAATTATGCCACTTAACTTGGCAAACTTCGCATCACTAACAACATGAAGGCTTCAACATTTGCATTTAATCCAGAAACTCACGAAATTAATTACAATTGATGTTTATTAAGTTATTAAAGTAAATATAATGAATAATTTTACATTTTAATAAATGGTGCTTGGCCACCTTGAGTGCCTTTTGCAATTTATTTTCAAGGATTTGAGTAACACTTGCTTAATGAGCCTCAACAATGATGATTATTACAAGACTCTAGGTTCTCTTATGAGGACAACAGTGAAGTTCATCACCATTGTGAGGGGTCAGGGTCGCTATCTCAGACCCTGCTGGGGGCGGAGGGCCGGGGTCGTTCGCTCAGACCTTGCTTGGGGCGGTAGGGTCGGGGTCGCTCTCTCAGACCCTGCTAGGGGCGGTAGGGTCGGGGTCGCTATCTCAGACCCTGCTGGGGGCGGAGGGGGGGTCACTATCTCAGACCATGATGGGGCGAGGGGTCAGGGTCGCTATCTCAAACCCTGCGGGGGGTGGGGGGCCGGGGTCGTTCGCTTAGACCCTGCTAGGGGCGGTAGGGTCGGGGTCGCATTCGTCAGGGGGCTCGGGGTTGGACTTAATGGAGTCCCACTCGTCGCTCGCCATCTCCTTCAGGGCTCTGTGAGAGGGCCGGTCATTTTAAAACATTTATATTATGAAGGTGTTAATTGCTTTATATTGTATTGAAACTAATACATTTACATTTTAAAGATAGTAATGTTTTTAAAACAAAAAAAAAATAAACCAATACTATAATAGAACGGAGATATAACAGAGCCAGCGCAGAGTCGACCCGACCCCAGGCCTGTCCTCGAGCCAAAACATAACAGAACAGAAAAAGCACAGCACGGTCCCGAACACAAAACGCAACGCACCAAATCAAATTTGCTTAACCGAACCGAATCCTCGCCGATTCTGACCAGAAACTGGCGCACAGAGCTGGGATCGAACCCGCGCCTCTCTGCGCCAATCCTGGTACTCTGAACTGTAACCATTGGGCCACTAATTGCTTTATTTTGCATTGAAATTTTTGAGGAAGAATGACTGAATCACACAATAAAACAAAATAAAGTCATATGAACTCTATACAGATCTGTTGAAATATATTCAAATGAACGTGATGAACACCGGTTGACAAAGAATGATGGTCCGGTAGACAAAGAAAAATCCTTAAAGGCGTTTCCAAATTGGTTCCCCAATACTGCAATAAAAAAATTAACGACTCACTATAATTGAACGGATACTACCCAAGCTAATAACCTACTCAAATTTATGAATCAAATGATGCGACCAAAAAAAACCTAAAATTTTGTTGCGTATTAGTGCGGAAAGCTTACAGGAAGGAAGTTAACATGTATTCAAGACGAAGTTAGAATAGGATAGTCTATAGTTGGAGATTTGAAAATTAGAAAAAGATAAGAAACGTAGGCCTAGGATATTGAAACTGGATCCACTGCAAAACTAGCAAACACGCTTCAATGTATTTGAAATTCAATGATTTGATTAATGATACAAAACTTGATCGAGCAAATTGTCTAGAGCAGCGTAGAAAAATTGAATACAGAGCATAAATAAATAAATACAAAAACATTCACAATATAGTGAAAAGCGAAAAATAATGTTTTAGGACTTAAAAAGCACCTGCTGCTGCGCTGGCTGAAGTAAAAGAATTTAATAATTGAGAATTAATTTTCTGAAACAGCTGAGGCACGTACGCTGAAAGAAGTTTTTCGCGCGAGATTGGCTATCGTATGAATGCTGAATTATATATGAAAACCCTAGCTGAAACTACTATTTATGTTTACTGCGTAACTAAGTACAAAAAAACTCTGAATACAACATAAACGACGTAACGTCACTTAATATCTCAAAATTAACTAAGAGCAAAAATGAACAATGATGGAAAAAATTTCTCAGTAATTAATACATTATATTTTAGAGATATTACAGTTATTATATCATGAATATATTAATACCTGTATATTACGAAGATATTCATATTGTTGCATTATACAGGCATTAATAACATTTTACGATAGAGGAAACAATTAATACTTTCATGTTATGGAGATAATAATTTCTCTGTTTCATGAAGGTATTAACATCACTATACATAGAATAAAGTTATTAATACTTGTACTAGTAGAAGTAGAAGAGAAGTAGATGACTTGTGATGTACAGTAATTACGTAGATAATTCCTAGTCGTTATCGATGCACTCTTCAACATGGATATCGAATAATGGTGATAGGAATGCGTAATCAATAGTTAGGAAAATGTGTAACGGGATGCGAATAAATAACGATGATAGGAATGCGTAATAAGTGTTAGGAAAATGTTGAACGAAAAAGGCTTAACATTTAGGAATAAAAAAACAATTAGTACCGGTATAGATTACTCATGATACGATAGCGGTCGAGCAAACATAATTTTCTAGAAGCGAGCTCGAGTTGAGCTATAATTCCATAACTTTATAAATTTATCTAAAACCCTACTTTAACAATAACTCTAAAACTACAACTGTAACTGATGTTCAATTATACTTATAAATTGGACTCTATACACGCATTTATGGGCAATTACATACTGTAAATTATCTTACATTGACCTTTACTGTTTATAGTAGCTATTAGCACGCGTTATTTATTTTCAGCAGAATTAAAATGAATTGCTGAAATTCGAAGATCAATTTAGCATAATTACACTATTCTTATAAATACACTATTATTATAATTACACTATTATTATAATTATACAATTTAGTATAATTACACTATTCGATGTTTGACGATAATAAATTGAGTTAGGTACGCCGAACAATTACACCCAGAAAATAAAGCGAGGCATATTGTCCAAATAGTGATACTCTTTCTCATCCACAATGAAAGCAGTGAGCCTGTGAGCCAACGTAGCACTGATACGCCTTTTTACCGAGCCAAACCGGGTCAGAATGACCCACACAAAGGTAAAAAATGCTTTGCTATTTGGACAATGTTTCACTCACTTCTCTGAGTGCAGAGATGAATTATTCAGGCAAAGATACAATAGAAAAATCCTCACCCATGACTGGCCTCATGAGGCTCCACTGGTCAGGCTTCATGGAACTCTTCCTTTGAACAGAGCATCAACTTTAGTTCTAACCCACACCCATCTGTGTCGTATGTGATGTATTTTACCAGCTATGCTTCATTTCAAGATGCTTTTCACACCTTAAATGAGTCGTAGGTGCTATATTTTACCAGCTCTTTTTCATATCAAGATGCTTTTCACACCTTAAATGAGTCGTAGGTCCTATATTTTACGATCTCTGCTTCATATCAAGATGCTTTCCACACCTTATATGAGTCGTAAGTGCAATGTTTTACTACATTGAGTTTGCGGCATCGTTGTCATCTTACTCACTGACAAAAATAATACATTTGTTATTACATTACACACTGGCTACCATTCATCAACAATCACCGCATACCAACAACCATACGTTAACCATCAATCCATACACAAATGCTGCCACACCTCTGCTACCACACATACGTATGCCATCATTCATCTCTTATCGTTTCGTACTCGGAAACTACACATCACTCATCACCACTGACCTGCGACAGTAGAAGATGGTGAGGATGATGATGATGTTGCCCAGCACCAGCACTGTCATTATGGCCACCGGAATGTAATAATCTGAAAAACAAATTATTAATCTGAATACTGTTCTGAAATGCCCAGAATTGAACTGAGAATTGCAACAGGGATGGACGAGATCAAGCATCGCAAATCGTGGCTGCTAAAATCAGGGAGGGCCTTAGAGAATACGGCCCAAAGCCTCATCCATCTATGACCTCAGCGCTGTCTAGTGTCCGGGCCTCTTTCAACAAAGTCTTTTGACATTTAGTCTTCTTCCTATTAGATAAATATCCTTCATAGAGGGATCCTCATACCAAAACTTAATCCTTAGCTCTCACTTTCATCGAATCCTCTTGCTTAACAAGGACCACCTCTTACTCAGGCGCTCGCCACCTAGACCGCCTTGCAGCAAGTCATCTTGCTTAGCCGGGACTTACCCTTACTAACGCCTCCCCTCACCTTACAAGTCCTGCTTGACTAGGACATATATCCCCACTCAAACCACCCCTCACCAGACAAAGAGTCCTCTACTCGATGGGGTTTTTTCCTGTGACACCTACTCGCTGTAACCTCTCACAGACCAATTCAGCGATCATCACAGACCCTTCTACTCGCAGCTCCCAAAGACCTTTGCTTCTACTCGCGACTCTCACCCATTGAAAGCGACTCTCACCCATTATAAGCGAGCCTCACCCAGTATGCGGGAAAAATGGGACTTCACGAGGATATCGACGTTTGCCGTCTCATTGAAGAGACGCTGGAACTCGTCTTGTGTGATTTCGCCTGCCGCCAGCAGATCTTGCAGGCCTGGGCAGTAATAAATAAAAAATATTAAGCCTGATATACTAAAGGTAGGCCAATTTGATTTAATTCATGTAACAATAGCAACTATCAAATTAATGTCATTTGACGAGAAAGAAACGTAGACTTTTCAGAGTTTGTAAAACGCTTTTCGGTGATTCAAATACAAATTTTTTAGACCAATCCTTCCCTTAAGTTTTTCAATGCCTTTCCTCTCACTGTGAGCACATTTTCAGGTCCACGTAATTTCACGACACGATAAGTATCCTGGGTACACGACCCACCAGCCTCTGTATATTTGTGGTGCTTGCAAACTTCGAACACACAAACATTTAGAAATACATGACAGATAATAATCTACGTAAGTTTGATCGAAATTTCATATAAATTTCGAAATATTTCATATATATTTCGGAATATTTCATAAAAATTGCGAAATTTTTCATATTAAAGTAAACTAATTCACTGAGTTATTTAATACAGAAAAATAGTTGAGTCTTCCTGTTTAATGTTAATTGATCTAACCGACGCAGTCGTCCACAGCAGGCCACATCTGCTGTCTACACTCCAGCATGAGGTACTTGGCCACCGCCCCATCGTCGTCTCTGACGAAGGCGTGTCCGTCTCTGCACGCGAGCTTCGCGTGGGAGGCGTTCCGGAAGACGGCGGTGGCGTTCGCAGGCACAGGAGGATTTGGGCACCCAAAGGCTGGGGAGAAAGCGAGGGGGTACTTTAGTTATTTATTTTTTTATTTTTATTTTTGATACGTGTACTTTACTTCGCTACCTAAAGATTGTGGGGCACATGTTTCTTTCCCGAATGGGAATCAAAACGGTGAATGTGGTAGGTTTATGTGAGATGTGGGAGACCCAAGTATATTGTTTGGCTACCTAACATTTGTTTTTCGTGTTTCCTTCCCGAGTGAGAATTAAAACAGTGTATGTGTTTTGTTTATATGAGGCGCAGGAAAGACACAAATATTTTATTTAGTTACCTAAAAATTGTTTGGCATATGTTTCTTTCCCATATCTAATTAAATCCAGTGGATGTGTTTTTTCTGAGATGAGTAACTAAACCAACAAACTAGGCGAGATGGAGTAGAAAAATACAATCCTGATTGCATTAATATATATTAATTATTGATCCATTGAAATCAGTTATATTTATTAATATTATATAAATTATTAATGCAATTTTGTATTTAAATGGACCATATATGAATGAGTCACTATCTCATATTTCATTGAGGTGACCGAGTGATCACCCAAAGAATAGCAAAATTGAAGTAATGAGTTTCGGGGTTGAAACCAAACTAACTATATAAATTCTGTAGTGCCTTGAATCAGCGACTAGTTAAACATTGCAAAATTTTTAACGCTGACATAACTTTTTGTAATTTTTTCATCAAATTATACATCTTAATGTTATAAATATTTTTTCATGAAAATAATGAAGCCGCACAAGAAACTAAATATTGATAACTTGTATCACCTTTATAATATGCAAGGAAGCCCCTAGCGGGCACCATCTGCTGGTCGGTGTGCAGAGTGATGTTGATGATGTGGTGCTCTGACTGTACCAGCTCTGGACGGTGCAGAGTACCACAACGCTGGTACAGTCGCCCCGACTCGTCCTGCACCGTGACCGTGTCCCGACATGCCCCGCCGTCCCTCTCTGGATTAGGGACGGAAATTTCAGTATATTCATTTTCAAATATTCATCTTAAAATATTCATACAAATATTCAGTGCCGACGATGGGCTAATCCGATGCAAAGGGCTTATCAGGCAATCACAAAACACGTTTCCTTAAAAAAATATCATCCATGGACGTTACTTATTGGATGATTTTTTTAGTGTCGCTCTTGACTCCATTAGAGGTAGGAATAACTCATTGATATGAATTACTGCTGACAGTGAGTGTCTCATAGGGCTGATAGTGTTTTTGTTACAAACTAAAATATAGTAGTGCTGATATGATAGTAAATGACTATTCTAAATGATGGACCGAATTTATTAAATTCGTATTTACTAAAGTACAAATTCAAAATTAATAATTTAGACACCAATAGAAAGATAAAGGCTCAACTTTTCAAACAGGACTTCATTTTACAACAGGATGGGGCTCCGGTCCATTGGCACCTCTATGTCCGAAATTTTTTGAGTCAGTCACTTCCTGAGCGTTGGGTAGGACGCATAGGAAATGAAGATCTGGCTCAACATTTCTGGCCACCGAGATCACCTGGTTTCACCCCATGTGACTATTTCTTATGGGGTTACGTCAAGGAAGCTGTTTAAGTCCCGCCTCTACCAGCAACTCTGGTTGATCTGAAGAACCGTATCACTGCTACGGTGCACTCAGTAACAGAAGATATGCTTTCTCGTGTATGGGTCGAGTTTGGTTACCGTGAACATATTGAACTTTTATAATATGTAAAAAACTTTAAATCCTTCTCGTTCCATTGGTGTTTAGATTATTCATTTAAATTTACTTTACTTTAATAAATACGAATAAAATTTGATAAATAAATATTTACTTAAATAAACACGAATTGTTTAATATGGGACCATCATTTAGAAAAACCCTGTAATATTGTTACTAATTATTAGAGTACAGTAGTGCCGATATTTACGCTATATTTTGATTAGAATCTAGTTGTATACGTCATGAAAACGTACAAGGAACCCTCTGTAGTTTCACTAACCTTTGAGTTGAACGTCGGTGAAGCTGAGCGACATTTTCTGGCCAGGGTCTAGCGACACAGTGAAGTCGCAGGGTTCTGGTCCTATGTAGAACTTAGGGTAGCCTGGTGACCTCAACCATCCTGATGGTCCTGATGCCACTTGTCGTATGGCACCGTTAGCCAGTTTCCTTGATATAAATACAATTATTGTATCGTTTCTTAATTATGAAGAGTTTTTTGTCTATAGCGCCATAATATTGTAAAGATATTAGGGTTTCGAGCCCATAAGTATGTAGAGGTATTATTTTATCGAGATGTAAGCCAATCTAGCTAACAGCGTACAGTATGCACGACAATAGGTCACAGCATACCGTGCTTCCATTGTACCGTGCACGAGTCATAAGTCATTTCGCAATAAATCGCAATTATTTCAAATCGTTATCGCGACATTTTCTAAATGTCCTAATCGCGACAAGGACAGACACTCACAATTGCGATTTGAATGAAAACATTCAAATCGCAATAAATGGCAAATCGTGAATGTTTTGCTAGTTTGCAATATGATAGCGACCATAGTTAGATTATCTTGCAAACTCAGAGAGAGAGAGAGATATTTTCTACACTCTGTCATCGCGCTGCACTTATCACGAAACCTTCACTTATCGTCACAGCACCCACCGTTGACACACGTATACTGGGCAACAATGATGCCCTGTTGCCAGTATGACACCTTTATCCTTACCCAGTTTGGCTGGGCAAAAGGCGCATCATGCAACGATACATCGGCTATCTGGTCGTGTTGCGAACAAAAAAGTGCGTCACTACTTGGACAATTACACCCATTCACTTTACTCCGTGTTGACCTAATAAATAATGAATATCATACTTATGGTTGAGGTAGTGCAGTACAGGCCCCTTCATGTGCTGCCTGTTGTATGATGGAATGGAGCAAGGTTTATCTCGTGACATGACCTCGCCGTACAGATAGGCTGATACCACCACCACCTCCTGGTCACTCATACATGCCAGCAGCAGCGGCTCGTCCACACACGCCTCCGCTTCCTTCAGCTCCAGACCATCTGTGAACCAAGACTCGGGTCATATAAAAAGAATTTTCTTATATAAAAACGAGAGACTTTACTAAAAATCGTCTCTTTGACTAAATTCCCCGGAGACTTGGATCAAATAGAAATAAATTTCTTGTATACTGATGAGAGTCAGTATACAAGAAATATTGACCAAAGCTCCAGACCATCTTTGAACCATGACTCGGGTCAAATAAAAATAATTTTCTTATATAAAAACGAAAGACGTTACTAAAAATCGTCTCTTTGACTGAATTCCCACGATACTTGGGTAAAATAAAAATAAATTTCTTGTATACTGACGAGTGTTAGCAAAAACGGAATGTTACCTAAACTTAATTTTTCCGAAACTCCGGTGGAAGAGTTGCGCAAATGTTGCAAAAAAACCGTACGTTTCCTTGACTCAATCAATTATCCCCAGACTCTGTTTTCTTTTTTCTGAAGGATAATTTACTGGATAATTTACTGGACCATTAGAATAATTTATTGTGATTAAATGATGATACATGACGAATGCGTGTTTAAATTTAAATATGGATGCGATGTTCAGATTAAGACTTTATAATGAGCAATTGCAAATTTTCGACGGTAAGAAATATAAAGTAATACTTTTACTTCTATTCTGTATTGAACATATTGTATATAAATTATGAATGTCCTTCCAACACAATAATAAAAATTATTCCTTCTAAGTGGATCACATATTATATCTTTAGCACAGAAGTCGAGGAAACATTAGCAAAAACGAAAAAAAATATAACTCAGTACTCACTGCAGTGAGTGACTGAGAGCGCAATTTCTCGTCGACGATACTTGAGGTCACGGACGGACGGACAGACAGACAGACGGACGGACATGACGAGCACAATTGGGCATTTTTTCAATAAATGAGAAAATGCGTTAAAATTTTAACTCACTACTCACAGTAATGAGTGACAGAGAGCGCATTTTCATGTCCGTTCGTAACTTGCAGTCACGGACGGACATGACGAGCACAATAGCGCCTTTTTTCCATAAATGAGAAAATGCGCTAAAAAGCTTCAACTTTTTGCCTTGGGCCGCGAGGTACGGAAGCTCGGGCTCCCGACTGTACGACTCAAGTTTCGTGATGAATGATGTGCTGCTCAACTTAGAGCACCTAAAGTTTTCTTATGATCTGCCAAGTTGCGGAGAGCTTTAAAGACTTGAGAAAAGATCCTTCGTAATTAAGTCCTCATTTGCGATGCAGGCAGAGACCAGTTCGTTGTTTTGGAAGTTTGTTCATGAGAGGATGGGTGGGTGGGAGGCTAGAACGAATGTTCGGTGAGTGTTTTTTCGGCTTGTGGATGAAGGGAAGAGAAACGGGGAGGAAAATGAACGAATGTTCTGAGAAAGTTTTTCGGTAGGTGGAGGGAAGGAGGAGCAACATAGACGAATGTTCGTCATGAGAAAAAGTTTTTCTGTAGGTAAGGGAAAGTAAAGGGAAATGAGGAAGAATTTTAACAAATGTTCTGAAACAGTTATTATCCTGGTGAATAGAATAAAATAGAATAGAAGTGTCGGCATTGAAGAAATAGGCCCATGGCCTGTTGCCGATTCTTGAATTTTGAAGGCAAATGGGAAAGAGGATAAAGGAATTTAAATTCAAGGAATTAGTTTTCTTGCCTGTCGAAGAAAAATGAAAGGTGAATGGAGAATAACATGAACGAATGTTCAGAAAATAACTCTTGCAGCGGGTGGACAAGGAACGAAAAAAAAAAATAGAACGGTAGGAAATGACAACTTGGACTGATGCTGCGTTCATGCATGCGGAGTTAATGCAATCGCATTACAGGTATTGGTTATTATATTTTATTAAAATTGACCATTTTAGTTTAAATCTCTATAGTAATTATTCGATGTTTGATTGTGTAACTAATGCAGTTTTATTTCACAAATGGATCTATTCCCTTAAACAAATACTTTAATTTTGCATTGGATTGAACTTTTATTGAATAAGATTTATTTAAATTTTATACGAATAAAAAAATAAGGTACGATAAATGAATAATAAAATGATTAAAAATTCTCATTTGACGCTGTCCAGGAAAGCGAAGAAACGTATTTATAATCGAGAAGCTCGTTTGTTTTGGTATGAGCTACTAATTTGAATTTAACATATTAACTGCAGTTCATCAACTGGCTATGTCTGATGCAGCGCTCTTAATTGAGATCGCGGTGTTCAATTTCCTCTGTTCCGCACCATAATTCGCCATTTATTATACCTGATAATAATTGAATTTTTTTCCTCGTCTTTGTGTGGAAACTACTCTGTAATGATGCCTGTACACTGTTGATGCTGTGTACATGCACCAACAGTGTAAGTGATCTCTGCAGTGTTGCCACCTAGCGCTCCACGCACGATCAATATGACGACGCATAGTATATCGATCGCCGGCGCGTCACGTTGCATTTTTGTGCGCATGCCTTGTGCGCAAAAAACTCGAGGGATGCGCAGCGAAGGCTTGAATTGCAGGCGCATAAACTGGCGTCGATTGAAGCTCTCCGAGAAGTTTGGCTTCACGGAACATTTTACTGAGCATTATTGCTATTCAATATAGTGTAAGAACGTCGTTGAAGTCACATTATTCAACTCTGATATTTATTAATTTAAATCATGAAAATTCGCGTGCAGAAAAATACCGTGATATCGCATTTTTTCGCCACAATTTTTTATTCTTTTGAAAGATATGATGAAATAACATTTCAAACCTGACTTTCTTTACTGAAATGGAATTGTAAACGGTAAAGATTCCTTCATTTTATTTCAAACGTAACGGTTCGTCAAGCATATCAATAGCCATTTCTACTTCAAACCTGTTTTTGAAACTGCTTCATCAAGCTTGAATTTCTCTTTAAAATTTTCAGTTGATTCAGAATGTGGTAAACCGTTTGATAAACTTGGCTGCATTGACCACGGACACTTTCATAGCGTCACTTTAACCGCCACATTGTAGGCCGAGTTCAGGATAAATCCAACATAAACCTAACTCAAGCCGCGGGATGATGCTGGCGCTTCCAGAAATCCTTTCACTCGATTTTTCTGGGCCATCGAGCACGAAATATCGCCCTGAAAGCAATAGCGTGGCTTATACGTTTCTCTTTTTCCAAGGAGCGGACTGCGGTATCACCTTCACAGCTTCGCCCAGACAGGCCTCTGCGTCCGCAGTATATTGGACCGCGGCAGCATTTAGCGTGAAGTATATATAAGTTTGTGCTGCATTTTACATATAATTGAATACCGTATTTACGGACTCGTCTTGTGAGCATTTAGTGGCTGCATGCCAAAAGGCTAAACCTCTGCGGTATATTGGTTCGCGGCAGCATTTAGCGTGAAGTATATATAAGTTTGTGCTGCATTTTATATATAAATGAATACCGTATTTAGGGGCTCGTCTTGTGAGCATTTAGTAGCTGCATGCCAAACGCCTAAACGTCTGCGCTATATTGCAAAGCTACAGCATTCAGCGAGGTCAGCTATAACGGTTAATTGTTGGCCCAGATGTCTCGGTCAAACATGCAGCTGCCATCGAGGTTATTTGATTCGAAGATGACAATTTGAAAGGCATTTAGTTCTTGCACGGTAAAGATTGGATTAAAATTGTCAAATAATGAGGTTTTTGCACGATAAAGATTGGCTTAAAATTTTCAAATTGCAGGGTTAAAGAAACATTCGAATGGGAAAAATTATCACAAGAACAATGTTAAATCAAAATGCTCCAAACGTATGCCTTCCCATTCAAATAGATGTCGTGGATTAACCCCATCCATCCAGAGTATTGACCTGCAATTCAAGTGCCTGGTAAATCCATTAAAAAATTAATTTCTCAAAACTTTTGCGACAGAACTTGCGCCTAACGAATCCGGAGAGCAATAAGATTTCCGAAACTTATTTCATGTTTACAAATAATGTTTTATTGTGTTTGATACACAACGTAATATTTTTGAAAAAAAAATAGGTTGCAATACTATATCAAAAGAGAATGGTTTCAAGTTTAAAATTCAACTACCATGAGAAAAAAATAGAACAGATGAATAATATTTTGTATCGATGGCTGTTGGATTCAGGACCAAGGATGCCAGACAAAGGATTTCTTCACTGTCAGAACTTTTTTCTCTGCCATCCGCAACTTTTCGACCCTCTAAGAGATTTGTGAGTTAAGCCACTATTTAGCACTACACTTCAATTGAAAAAAATTAGAATGGCTAGTTAGGGTGAAAATTATGCATTACCCGCGAATAAAAAGTCAATTCTTGGTAAAAAGTCAGTTTTCAACAAAAATTCAGATTAAAAAAGTAAATCTTCAACAAAAAGTCAATTCTCAAAGAGAAGTCATTTTCAGCATAAAATAAGTTTTCAACCAAATAGCCAGTTTTCGACATGAAGTCAGTTATTGACAAAAAAGAAGGGCCAGAATAGAATTTAGTTCTCTCCAAAAGAGTTTTCGAGGAATTCGTACTCGCGTCTAATGTAGTTTAATTTGGTACTTGAGAGATTCACAATCAAAATATGATACTCATTGACTATTATGATTTTGTGTTAGGGATATTATGAGTTCATAACACAAGCAAACAATATCACATTTGACATCCACAAAAAATACACGCAGGGTCAATTATTACAAGGATACGATTTGGTTTGAAATATTTTGTATTGATTCTTTGACACAATTTCATCAACTAAATATGAACCCCCAAAGCCTACACGAACTTATTACAAAATGCTCTACATATTGTTTTGCATCACGACCGTTTATACGGGTTAGTATATATGGCATACTGTATATACTAAATACCGTCGTATGAACAATATATGGTAATTTGCTATCTTCTCAATACATATAAGCCAACCAACTCTCAACCAACTCTCGAGAGAAACAAACAAAAATAAGTCACTGGGACATTTCATGCATGACATGTTGCTGTTAATTTTGTCTTGATATGTTTTGTCTGTTATTTTTGTCTCTGAATAGAAAGTCACATATTTAGATAAAGAAATAATTATTTGAAATATTATTAGCAGTAATGAATATAGTAATTGCTGATTGATTAAGAAAACCAATGATATTTAAAAAATTAATTAACATGTTATGTGCTCACCTGGAAATTTGTAAGGCTTCTGTTGCCTGCTCGCGGTGCTCGTGAGCATTAGCGTCGCGAGCAACACACCCGTGAGCGCACTCCGCGCCATCGCTAATATGAGTCAAGTTGACCCACTCAACATCTTCTGTGCACTCCAATAGGCCAAACTGCAGCGTAATAATCTATGGGTTTATTCCATGCTACTAATACGCTCTTTGCAAGCTTTTGGATCAATTTCTGCGTATAGTTTTTACTGAAAAGTTGGATATGAAGATTAGATTAAATTAATATCTGAGATTCATTAAATTTTGATTTGAGGGATGAATTCTATCATCGAAAAGCTTTAAATCAACCTTGACTTATTCTATACAACTCATTGCATGCAAATATACTTTATATATATAAGGTAGAACCTGGATTAAATACTGCAGATTATTCATGACGCTAGTATAATTTAAAAGAAGTACATTAAAATTTGATTTTTAATTTAAGACGTCTTTAGAGTTATTTTCTCTAGTGGTCTATAATAGTTACAATAGAGCGGCCAAATAATTTTTAACACTAAACTCTACAGAAGTTCTAAATACAAACAGCATTTGGTTTAATCATTTCGTTTCGGCCAGGAACAGCAGTTACGGAGGCGCCGTGATGGCTTTAATCAGCCTGCCAAGGTCGCTCCTTAATTGAATGTCTGAGCGATGTTGCATCGCGATCTAATTTACTGATAACATGTACGATCATTTAAGGTGAGTTCATGATTAACATAATGTCCCTGCCAAGGTTGGGTAATTAGGGACGTAAATTGAACGATATTTCATTTACCGGAATATTAATTACAAAATTTTACCGGAATTTACCGGAATATTAATTACCAAATTAGACAGCGGTAGTGAGATTAGCTTGAGTAGAATATCTTTCAACAGCAGACTGCCCCAATTAAGGGCCTCAACAGAAATGAAACTTACACATAAAGAGTGAAAACTCTAGGAGAAACTTACATCTCCTGTTGCCAAAATAATTATTCTAATGAAATCGGTAATTATTTATTGCGCTGGAGCCGAGTAGAGATCTGACAGGGACTGAGATATAATTATCCCTGATAATAAACTGGTGTTATTTTGTTTGTGGTGTCTTATTAAGTTTTCACAATTCTTGGTAACTCATGCGTAAGTGCATCTGTTCATGCAATTTTTTTTATATTAAAGATTACATTTGCCTAACATGAGCACACGACCGTTTTGATTGTACAATTACAGAATTTCAGCATTTCGATTGGCTATATAAAATTGCTGTTTTCGTAAGTAATAACTTTGGTATAGATTTGGCTCGGATGAAAGTGTTCAGTAATTGCTACATTCAGTAATATATTATTGCTATTATTACTTATACACAGTACAAGCTAACCAGTAATCGGAACTAGTGCGATTCTTCTATTCTATGCGATGCTAGTGAACTAGAAGGGCTAGTAAATGATAATAGTGCGATTATTCTGTTCTATGCGATGCTAGTGAACTAGAAGGGCTAGTAAACGATACTAGTACGTGAATAATGCTCAGGTAATTCTGACTTTAGTCTATATTTTAATATTAAACATAGCTTATGGAAAGTTGTGAAGAGGGGCCGAGCGATGTTAAGCAATTACAGGCAGGCTGTGACTTGACCGCAGTGTTAAAGCAGAAAACCGTGAGAGCGAGTTTGTTTATAGTTTGGAATGACCTAGAGTACCAAAGGGCTGACCCTTGTGGAACTGTCGCGGCGTCCCATTTTAGGCTTATATGTGCGCGACGTCTGCCTATATAATGACCCTAAAATTCGCGCTAGAAGGTTGTTCCACAGTGGTGACCGTGGTCTCTGCTACGGCTCAGGCTTTTGGGCGGCGGGTCGAGAAATAACGGCTACGCGAGTAGTCGAGTCATTAATACCACTACGACTTCGATATAACAACGTCAAAAATCTACAAGGAACTGCTACGACTTCGATATATTTATGTACGGTCAACATCAAAAATCCGGCTGCGTCTCAGCCGTGAAACAACGCGAGAGGCCACTTGACGTCCGTCAATTATGACGCTGGCGATCAGATGATTCAAGTTTTCGAGCACTGAGAATTATATCATCAGTACGGTCATCAGCACGGTATGGTCACAGTTGTGGTCAGTAGCTGTAAGGTCACGATCACTAACAGCAGAAGTACGGCAATGAGCTTGGAGTAACATCATCGACGACAAAGACTACGATAATATTCAAAAGTATGGTCGTTATAGAACAACCTACGGCCGGACTGACCGTGAGACATCTATATGACTGGGCTGACCGTGGGACATCGGAGACTGACCGTGAGACTGGCCGTGAGACATGTGACTGGTTGTGAGGCATATGACTGGACTGACCGTGAGACTGACTGTGAGACATATGACTGGACTGACCGTGCTCGCGGAGAAAAAACGGCCGCGGGCAGCGGGGATGCCCGGCCGCTGTACGGCCGCTGGAAATATGGCCGCAAACATGTGTGTGAAGTACGGTCGTTTAAGACAGTCGTGCTACTCAACGGAATTGCAACGGATCAACGTTTCTGGTAAAAGTATGAGATTTTAGTGTCGTTAACTGATAGATTCTTAGCTTAGAGACTTTTGTCATCGTATGAAATTTGTATGTACTAGTTTAATATTGAATGTACAAGTGTTTCATTATATCCCTCTCTCTGTACGATTTTGCCGTAACCTATTCATTCGAGAACTTATACTCGAATACTCCGAGTAAAGCCTAACTGCCTTAGACACCACATTTGCAACCTGACTAAATTAAAGAAATTTCTGGTCAATAATAAGATTATAATGATGAAACCAATCTTCAATGGTATAAATTTCCATAAACTAATCATGCGGTTGTTCTATACTATGCGATACTAGTGAATTTACTGGGCAAGTGATGTAGCAGTAAAAGTCCACGGGTTTTGAGTCTGATATTCTAATATAGACTCAGCAGAAACGAAGAATGCTATTGTTTTGATTACAAATTTGCTAAAAATTAATTCACGCATCCAATTGTGATGCAATAACTGGATTAATTTGAATAAAACGCGTTCCTTAAATCAGCGTAAAAGTAATAAAAGTATATACCATTCCTTAATCATCTCGAAACCACATCGGAAATTCATGAGTTTAGTACCTTTTCGCCAGTCAAGCAACATTTGTTTAAAGCAAGTGTTGAATTCTTGCTTCTCAAATGCACTTCTATTGTATATTTCGTACGAATGATGTCGGTTTTAGAAGCATCTAGACTTTCAGTGGCGGTGTTGGCTCTAGACTGTAAAGAAGGAAATGTTTGGTACGTGTATTTTAATTTTGAAGA